CCAAGCTGACTTCAAATCTAAGATCCTCCTGCCTCAGACTCTTGAGTGCCACCATTCCTAGCCTCTCGGTCTGGTTTCTATTGTAATGAGATACCTGAGATTGAGAAGCTTATAAGGGGAGAGGTTGATTTTGGCTCGCCATCCTGGAGGCTGGGAAGTTCAAGTCATCACTTCTGGTGAGGGCCTTATAGTATTTCATAGTGCGGCAGGCTTCAAGAGGAAGTGCAGGCGTGTATGGAAGAGCAAACGAGACAGGCGTCCTTTCTTTATACCAACCTGCTTTCATGAGAACCAGCCCTGTCCTGTAAGAAAGGCCTCAGCCTTTCACTTAACACCCCAGTCGTCCTTAAAGCCTCCTATCACAAGGCTTCCGCATCTCCCTCCCATCACGGCTCTTGGTGTAGGAATTGGACCTGACGGTCAATGCATCCTTTAGAGGGATAAACCATCTTCACTCACACCTGATGTGCTGCGGTCTGTCAGGGCTTCTGTGGAAGAATTCCTTTCCTCAGCCTCAACAGATTCTTAGTTGGGTCAGAACCCTGTAACAAAAGCTGGATTAACCAGGGGAAAACAGATAGCTTTTATTTATTTTTATTTTTTTCCTATTTTTACATACAGGTGGGAGACACCCAGGGATGAGTAGTTCTCAGCAAGGTAGCTTTGAATTCCAGCCCATTCAGTATCTTCAATAAACAACAGTGAATTTTAATTTTTTTTTTTTTTATCACTAGTTTTCCACTGTGTTGGAGACCTAACCCAGGACTCCCTTGGCATTCACGATACCACGAGTCAGACCTTCAGCACAAATGGACAAGGCCAGGGAAAGGACTTTGAGCCTCTAGGGGCGGCACCTTGTAAAGGGCAGCTAGTAAGCTTGTTGATGGTTTAATTTGCTGCTGTCTCCAGGCCTCCCAGGGCCTCAAGCTGCCCTCAGTGCCTTTGCTCTCCCTGGTGGTGGGCGTCTTCTGTCTTGTAAATGCTTCTCCTGCTCGGAGGTCAAGCTGGACAGAGGGACTTTCTGCATCTACTCCTTAACTGTCCCCAGCCTAGCAACCCTTTGTATCTGAAAGTGACCTATTCAGCGGGTCTCTCCCACTGCTTTCTCTTGTTCAGCAGCTGGGAGAGCCAAGGAGGCAGGGTTGTGTAGGCTCTTACACCCAGACTGTGTGGGATGTGCCTTCTGCATGCTCTCCTGGAACAGCTCTGGGAGCCTTGTAATCTGCCTCAGGCATATTGTCAGAGGCAGCAGTTACGATGGAATAGTTACAGGAAATCCACCAAGGTGAATTCTCCCTTCTCCTCTCCCATTCCTCCATCTCCAGCTTTTCAACAGCCAGACATTCAGAAATCATTAACAAGGACTTTAAAATTTTGTGTTAACTAACCCAAGAGGTATTTCCAATGATACACACAGTTAAAAGCCTCTTGCCATCCTTTCTTATTCTAGAAAACCAGCATGGACCACTTCTGCTGGGTCATGAAGAGACTCAGTGCCTGCACAATGGAAGATTTTTCACACTGATTAAATAGTTGTGAGATGTATGGACTCATACTGCGGGGCAGTCTTGGGGCTGCTGCCAAGCAGTATGTGGGGATCTTCAGAAGATGGGATCTCTAGAGACATGGTTCCATCCTCCAGCTCCTCACGTGTTTAACCATGTAACTCAAAACAAAGAGCAGGCTCTTCAGGAAGAGAAAAGGAATCTCCCAGGGCCCTCCAAGGGGCCCTTGGCTCAGTCTGGCTCTATACTGCTCCAGTAAACATGCCAAAAGCTGGAACATTCTACATTAGGCCTAGATCACTTGGCCATTTGGCTGGTTGAGGGACCGCGTCTTCCTACCTCTGACATGGTACAGGCTGAAACCCCCAATTCTAAGGCTTTACATTTCTGACCAGTACAAAGGCTCGGGAATCTTTGCCCAAGTCCCTGACATTTATTTCCCCTTGCAGAGTCAAGGCTGGTACTCTGTCTCTTTTATTGAGAAAAAAAGCACAGGTAGCATCTACTGAATGGGGATGGTAGGGGGAACAAGGTACTTCTTTCCAGGGTCAGGAGAAAAGGAATGCTTTAGCGCTGTGGTTCTTTCTAATGCTCCATCCTTCAGTACAATTTCTCATGTTGTGGTGACCCCCAGTTATAAAATTATTTCATTGTTACTTCATAACTTTAATTTTGCTACTGGTATGAGTCATAGTGTAAATATCTGATATGTAGAGTATCTGATATGTGACCCTCAAAGGCCTTGATATAGGGCCTTGTTTAAGAAAGGAGAGGGGCTGATCACAGATCACGGAGGGGTCTCTTTGAGTGTATGAAGTCTGCTTGAGGGGCTCTTGCAAAAATGCAGTAATCAACTCTAGTGATCTCGAGGCATCAGATCTGCACACTCATTAACCACAAGCATTTTACATTTCACACTCACTCTGCTGGGCCCAGCATGTGGTGCTCCCCCGCCCCCCAAGCCCCCTCTTCCCTGCTCCCCCACCTCTGCACACAACTGCAGTGGGTAAGGGTGAGGCTGGGTAGTGCTGCCCCTGTTCCCGTCACCCACATGCAGCATCTGGCCCCCAGTTAGCCCTCTAACATCTCCAAGGCTCAGCTGTGTCATCTGGAAAGTGAGGACCAGAGAGTCTGTTTCGTAGGGCTGTTGAGGGGATGAAATGAGATGTGTAGAGGAGGGTTTTTGTTTTGTTTTTAGAGACAGGGTTTCTCTGCGTATCCCTGGTCTTGGAACTCACTATGTAGATCGGGCTGGCCTGGAACTCACAGAGATCCGCCTGCCTCTGTCTTCAGAGTGCTGGGATTAAAGGTGTGCGCCACCACTGCTCAGCAGTGAGAGGGGTTTATCACCACACCAGACACAAAGTTAAGTCCCCCTGAGGGTTTACGCATTCCTATAAAACATGCAGGTGGAACTGGGGGGGGGGGTGTCTTACTGCATATTCTTTTGCAACCACTGTGCTGGACATATGCTCCACGGATGCTCCACCCATGCTTGCTGAATGGGAAGCTCTGCAATCTGGGGTGCACTTTACAGGAAGAGTGAAAGGCCTGCGTGCAGCCCACATGTCAGCGACTCCACAGTGAGAGGCAAGTGTGACCCCAACAGTGCATCTATTCCATGAGTGCGCAAATCTCAGTTCTCTCCCAACACAAACAGGGTTCCAAATATTGACAAGTTCTAAAGTTCATGTGGAAAGACAGAGGAGTGATTCTAGACGAGTTTTGAAAATCAAATTAAACACGACAGACTCGCTGTAGGGAATGCTGAAACTGAAGTGTTAAAATTCACTTTCTGCAACGAAACTGTAAACAAAGAGTAACTGGGGATGGAGGATATAACGTTCTAAACACAAATCTAAAGGCAAACACCAGAAAGAAAAGGGTGGGCAAGTTTCAGCACATAAAACCAAAATTTTCTCACTTCAAAAATTGAAGTTGCTGAGTGTGGTAGACATGACTGTAATTCCAGGTTTGGGTTCGAGGCCAGTGTGGGCTATATAGAGAGACCTTGCTTCCCATATCCCCCAAAAAGAACAGTCCAAGGGAAAACATTTTCCACATACACAACAGATTAACACCTTCAAGCATGAACCCCAAACAACAAAACCAACTTCCCAACCTTGAAACTGGACAAAGGACAAATTCTCAAAAGTCATAGCATAAACTGGAAAAAAAAAAAATCAAACTCATGTAAAAGAAACAGTTCAGCAAACTAGCAATCCAAGAAACAAAAACCAAAACAAAGTCATTTTAATTAACTTTGGGAAAATAGCCCATGTTGTCAAGGAAATGGGAAAATGATCATTTCTCGGGGATAGTAAGTTTTGGATGATCATTTAAAAATACATACCTTGTCTTTGACCATCTGTTTCCACCTCCCAAAGTCTGATACTGGGCATGTACAGTGAAACATTAATCTATAAGGATATAGCAATTTGTAATCTATTTGTATATTCATGTAGCCATTAAAATATATGAAAAAATATAAAAGAACAATGAAATGGGAGAAAATTTGCAATATCTTAAGTGACGAGCAGCATATACAGTTGCAATGGATTACCTCAGGCAACCCCAACATAAAATGCTATTCAGAGCATCAGAGTATGTCAAAACACCGAATGTAATTGACTCTAGGAGGCTATTATATGAAAGGGCTAGATGGCCCTCTATTTCCTACGTATGGGAGAGATTTTAAAAGTGTTTTTAAAATAATTGTACAATTCAAAACTTGTCTTTGTTGAAAGCATGAAAGGACACGAAATTGCGCTGGTCTGGAAGCTCCAAGATGGGGTTCCTTTGGAAAGCCAAGGCCACCTGCTAGTGGGTGAGTCATCACCACAGGCTTGCACCTGCCCCCGCAGACGCCACACTGGCTGCTGTGCGTTTCCAAGCGTAAATGACCCACTTGTGCCAACAGCCACCTGGGCCCGGCCTGCGGCTCCAGAGAGCGAGCAACTCCGGATCTTAGTTGTGGGAATAGAGGGCCTTGCAGGGTTCACAGTCGCGGGCCATTCATGCTCCATCCGGGTGCGTGCGGGGTGCACTGGGTTGCCATGGGATCTGTGGCCCTGGTGAGCGGACGCCCCGCAGCAGCCCCAAGCTGGAGCGGCCTGGGCAAAGCCCCGGGCTCGATGCCAGGGGAACCGTCGGTGGTGCCCTGTCCAGTTCTCTCGGCCTGAGTCTTTAAAAAGGCAGTGCAGGTGGGCCAGACGCACTGACCACAGCCTGGCCACGAGGTGACCCAGGGGCGAGCGTCCTTCGCTGGGACAGAGGGGTGAGAAACTGGAGTTCTCGCCGGTGGCCAAAACTCGAGCTGGTGGCTGCCATGGTAACGGAGCCGGGCCCTCCCCGGCCGTGCGCCCAGGCGGGAGGGAAGCGCGGGTGACCTGGCCCGCCCCGCCCCCAGGCCGCGGCCGCCTAGCCGAGACTGACCCTCCGCAGCTCCTGTAGTCACGTGGCGCTGGGAACCCGGAGGGGGGAGGTTGGGGACGGGCCTGGCAGTTGTGAACTCGAACCTGCCGCTGTCGCGGCGGCGGGGCGGGGAGCGGGCCGCAGAGGCCGGCCGGGGGCTTCATGGATGGGCGCCGCGTCCCCGCAGGGCACGCGGGAGAGGTAGGGCCCGGAGCAGGG